AGTTTAAATAATATTTTATTATTGTTACTGTATGCAATATAATAATCTTTAAACATCTTGGAAAATATCTTAATTATGTTTAGGTGCATAGATATTTAAAAAAAATAGAAGAAATCCACAGAAGCCATTAAATTAAGAATATGGTTAGGTGTGGTGGCATATACCTGTAATCTCAGCCCTCAGGAGGCTGAGGCAGGATGGCTGCACATTTGAGGCCAGCCTGGACTACATAGTGAGTTCAGGGGCAGCCTAAACTATACAGTGAGAACCTGTCTCAAAAAAAAAAAAAAAGGAAGGAAAGAAAAAGAAAAGAAAGAAAAAAGAATGTGTATATCCAGTATATAAAAGTTATGTTAAAATACCTAAGTACATTGATAAAACTTAGACTTATCTGAATTTCTTCTCAATAGCATATTTCAGTAAATATAGAAATACTGAAAAGATGAGCTGGGGTGGATTGCTGTAAGAAAATAAATCCTGATTTATGAATTCCATGTTATGTTTATCCAGAAAACTATACAGATAATTGTAACACCAAGATGTTACAAAATGTACTCTTTCCTGTGTCATTTTCTTATATTTATGATACTCAAGTATCATCTAGAAGCAAACTAATGGAACTCTGCTTCCTGTAACCTAGAACAGTGATGCTGAGCTTATCATCCCAGAAAGTGATGAAAATGATACAGGGTACACGTGTACGAAACGTGGCCTATGCAACTAGTGACCATGTGAACAGAAAAGCAGTGCCACTTTCATCTGTGGTTTTATAATTCTTTTTATATGGTTTTAGTGCCCTTTTATACCTAAAAGCTTCACAAGAACACATTTGTTTTTGTAAGGACATGCACTTCTTTATTAAAGCCTACTGTTTGCTTTGAAATAATTTTTTGGTACTTATATGTAACCTGATATATTCACAACATACAACTATAGCACTCCCCTGAAGCATATTAATGTGATAGCAGATAAGTGAAAAAGATCTCCTACCTCAGAGAGAAACTATGGCATTTAATTTTTACAATCCCTTAAGCATTGCATCTGTTTGGAACACTTAAATGCTCTTCCAAATTGTGAATATTAGTTTAACTGTCAGAGTCTTGATGTGGATAAGTAGTGACTATGAATCTGAGTTTTGAAATGTCTTTGAAACAATCTTGCTGTGTTGAGTTTCTAACAATTAAAACTCCAGAAATTTAAACCTTAAATTTTTAATCTATACTCTTGAGCTGAGAATGTTTCAAACTCTTATTATAATAACTCAAGGTTTATATAATCCTTAGCATATTCCTGTTAGTAAGAAGATGATGTAAAGTCTTGATGTAGATAGTTCTACATGATATTAATGGTATAAACAGAGAGTTATTGGGAATGGATTTTTGATGGAATCTTGCTATTCTTATGAAGAATAGAAAGGGGAGGAGGAGTGTGACCCTCAGGCAGAGTCCAGTGCATTGGGGTAGATAACAGCAGAATTCAGTGGCAGGAATGATAAACACATTTTCTTCTTTCCATAAGTTTTAATAACTAGTTAGAACTATTTTATTCTAAACATTGTTCTTACACTTTTACTCCCTTCTATACCTTCTTATCCCAGACACCACACTTCCTCTTGTCCAGCAGATCTCAACTGAATGCCCACTTGAAAGTCAAAGCAAGAATCTGAGTGAGCATTGCCTTCAACTTCTTCTGAGTATAAACTTCTTCTGTTAATACATCTCTATTCAAAAGCAGTAAACCTAGAGACAGTAGAAAGCACATGTGACAGCTGTGCTTCTCAAACTAACTGAATTATGAGCCACTCAGATGATTAGTAAAGTGCACTTCAGCAGGTGCCTGGGTGGGTCATGAAAGCGTACTATTGGGTGGTAGATCTGGTCCCTCCTTGTTCCTTCCTCTTCAGAGGTTTGGGCCAGTGCTCAGCTTCCTCACTGCCATTAACAGCCCCTTTGCTCTGCCACGCTCTTCTGCCATGATGTTTCTGCTTTAGTGCCAGATAAAATCATGGACTGAATATCCTCAAACCATGAACCAAATAGCCTCTCTTCCTGAACAGGAAAGCTGACCAATACAGCATGCGAGAGAAACCCAGACTCATACCCCTTCTAAAAGCAGGACTGTGATTTCAAACCTCCATTTTGCTCAAAAATCCCACATGTTTATGTATCCACTTAAAGAGAATCATGTCATTTCAAAGTATTTCTAATTTAAACTTTATTTTAAAAAGATAATATATGCTACATAGTTCTTTGAATGGATAATATTTTGAAATTTATTAAATAGTGTTTCCTTTTACACAGCAAAGTTATTTGCAAATCACATCATTAAAATAAATAATCTGGTAAGAGGCAATTTGTATCTTTGTAAATAACTAGTGTGAGGCAATCATTAAAGAATAAAGACATGCTTAGATTTTCACTTACCTTGAAAAATAATTTCCTCATGAAATTCATAATTGTGAACTCAAATTGTCCAGCAACTGAAATACACCCTCCTTGTGGTGAGCTAATTTAATTTCAGACTCCAACATTATGATATTGTACTTTACAATGCACGAGCCTAGAATCTCTGTCCTGACATTTGAGTAGCAGAACCATGGGAGAAGGAATGACCAGGTCTACATATATTTTGAAAGGGAAAAGCAACAGTAACATAGTTCTTCCCTATATCAGTGTGATGTTTAAGGTGCACATTGCATTCAGGGATTTAGTCAGTGCATTCAGAGAAATAACTCCTAGGTTCACCTTCAAATTCCATTGTCTTTATCTCCTATTTCAAGTATGCTATGCTCAGCAGTTATACAAAAGATCACAAGAGACTTGAGATTTATATCCTGGGAAGTCCCAATTTAGCAACCATGCACTTTAAGTGTTTAGAACTCTTAGACTGTTGTATTCTTTTTTGGCAACACACAAAAGGAATCTTATAAAACCAAACCAAGTGCTTCTAAAAACGTATTTTGCTGTCACCTATTCTTGATTAGGTCATGTGTTGATGGTTGATTATAAATACAATTGAAAAGCCAAACGAGTTGTTCATACATATTCTACTTTTACAGGAACACTGGGTCTACATAACACTTTATAAATTCCTTGTAGTTTAAAGTACCTTCATGTTATTTGATCATCATGACAATATTGTGAGATAATCACGGAAGATAAAATTAAACCTTTGAGAGGCAACAAAATCAGAACTGCGTGTAATAGCAATTGTGTTTCTTTATTAATTCTAAACAGAGTACACTAGACATTAAATTTTTGAGTAAATGCAATAAGTTTGATTCACATATTACACTTATTTACTGTATGGTGTAATTTTTTTTTGTTTTTGGCTCATCTATTCTCCTTTCGAGAGAAATTAAACACAAATGTAATTAGACTAGTCCTTTTTCTGACTTTGTTATCCATTATTAGAAAAAAAGTAAGGATATTTATATCTTTAGTTAAAAAACTATATCTCAATGAATTGTTTGAAGTAGAGAAAATGTAATAGTCATATCTTCACTGGCTCAGATTTTTTTCTAGTTAGGAATATTGAAATTAAATTTTCAAATTAAATATTATAATTAAGTTAAGGTATTTATCTAACATGTGAAGTGACCCATATGTATAATCCAGTGCATATTCAATTATTATTTACACACAATGACACCTTGAGCTATAAAATCCCTTAAGGACATTGCCAATGTGATCTAATGATCTATAGATAAGTGAAGAGAAATTCTACTATGCAAATCCTCTGTAAAATTCAGAGAAATCAATTGATGACTATGATATAAGAAACGGTTGGACTAAGTGTCTTTATCAGAATGAATGTTAGGATATAATTTAAAGACAAAGGTTTACTCTTATATTTTCAATATTCTTAAAATGATTAATCTGAAACATACTCTGTAGTGTCCGTTAATAAATAAAGAAGCTTTTATCCTTTTTGAAAAATAATTGCAATATAATTAAGCAGACCCTTAATTTCCAAACTGATGTCCTGGGGAATAATTCAATTATAGAAATTGCAGTAAGTAATCCAGAAAGTGGCTTTTTTAACCTTTCTTCTAACTGAGGTTAATATATTGTAAATTCAAAACCTTCAATCAATAAAAAATTCTAAGGTAATAGGTTAAGTTGATATTTTTCCTCAGTTCCAAAAGATAACAGATCAGACCTACATTCAAAATGACAATTTTGTTATTAATTATATTCAAGGTTCCTCTAATAGTTGAATTTCTGATCTAAACCAAGTAGCACTGTTAAAGATAAATAAATTGCCTATTTTAATAATATATTAAAAATGCAACCATATGTATGCTCTATTTTACTTTTTGTCTAAAACTATTGATTAGGAGTCAGATTATTTAATAATTACCAAAAAGTTCTCAACACAATTACAAAGTCTTTGGGTAATAATACCTTTTTTAAATAAGCAAAGTTTTAGATGTACTATGTTTTTTATTTGGTTTATTCTCAAATTGGCAGTTAAGTACTTGCCAATAAGCTAATAGTTTGTATGTTTGGATAATGCATTTGGAATTGGCCAGGGACAACATGAAGATAATGTAAACAAGCAGAGATATAGATTAACTTTGGAAATATATCTAATACATTCATCCATTGGTCAGTCTTTGTAAATAAATCAAATCGGTCATCTGCAATTGCTTTATATCTTATCATTAATGTTTTCTTTATTTTGAATGCTTATTATTTCTTCTGTAAAGTTTAATTACCCTATAAGAAAGTATCAATATATTGAATATTAGCTTTATTGTGAATAAAAAAATTTAAAGGGCCATAGATACTTCTAAACCCCTAGCTTTTCTTATGGTCACTTTTTAAAAAAATTCTGATACTTGTTATATACTTATAATAAAATTTATTATACACTTATAATAATAAGTCATATTTTTGAACAGCAATATCCACAGTAACAGGCCACATTAATTTAAGAGTAAAAGTGGAGATAATTCATTGTGTTAACTATGTTTGTGTGTTTGTGTTTTCTTTCAGTCAATCTCTTGGATTCAAAAACAATTCAAGGGGAGCTGGGCTGGATCTCTTACCCATCGCACGGGGTGAGTTTAACAAACTCTGGAAGGAAAACATGATTCTGTACATTGCCCCCTGAGACAGTGGAAGGAATTATTGGTGTGCTTTGTGGAATTCCTATATTTCATGAAAAATTATGTATGTATATTCAGAACAAGGGGTCACATATCCTAATATTTCTTGTCCATAGAACTACCGAAAAAGTTTAACTGCTTTTCTCCTGAATCTGTTGGTGAAAAGGCAGCAGTGTTTAGGCACAAAAACCTTGAATGGACTGAATAAATATTTTAATTATCATTAGCATTATATAGGTGATCTAAATGTGATCACTTGGTGTTTTTTGTGATGTTCCTAGAAGAGGTAAAGTTTTAGGAAGCCCTAAATTTAAACACGTAGAAATGTGCTATCTGACGTTAGTAATCTCTGAAATCTAGGATAAAATTAACCATGGTGACTATTCCAACTAGGTTAGCACTTGTGATCTATAGTGGCAAACTGTGTCACCTCAGTTTATGCTGTTAATACATCTCTAACTTGTTCAGATTAGTGGTAAAGTTGGAATTTACTTAGAAGAAATGAAATTTATGTGTTTACCTTTTAATCACTTGAAGTAAATTTTGTATTTTGTCAAGCAAGGCACAGATTATTAAGGTGTGTGGCATTATTATTAAGGTGTGTGTCATTTTTTTTTTTTGGTTTTTCTCCGGTACCGGGAACCGAACTCACGACCTTGCGCTTGCCAGGCAGGCGCTTTGCCGCTGAGCTAAATCCCCAGCCCCAAGGTGTGTGTCATTATTATTAAGGTGTGTGTCATTTTAGTACCACAACTGCTTATGATGAGCCTTTTATGTGAGAAATTTCATATTTTCCCTTTTTTAGAACAAAAGTCATATCTTTGGGACATTCTCATTTGTACAAAACTGTAATAAATGCTTAAACACACATTTTCTGCCAAGTATAACTTGCAAGAGTAGCAAAGTACTATTTTGAAATATTTGTCATAGGAACAAGTTTATATGTTCTTGTTCCTTTCTCAATAGTCCTTTTTGCAAAGGAGATTATCACTACTCACACTTAGCATTGTGTGTTTAGTCTTCAGGCTGTGGCGCCTGAGCATACTAATTTTTACAATTCTGCTGCTGCATCTTCAGTGGTGGATGTTTTCCATCAAGGTTACTTCATCTATCTGTCATCTTCGTATCTGCTTCTCTTCCTGGCACACCTTGACATTGACAAAATGCCAAAACCTGTAATCAGGTTTCCATGAGTTGCTTTGGAGGGAGAGGATGAAGTAAGCCAGGTTTTGGTTTTCTCACAGTGAAGAGGAATGAGATGACTGGGTTCGAAGTTCAGCCTGGATGTCAGGAAGAGTGAATCAAAACTTAGCATCGAGCTGGAAAACTTGTTTAAAGCTAATTAGGCTTTTCTTAGTTTTGATTTAAGAAATCTGAGGTTTTCCTTACGGCATCTGATAATATACCATGGAAAACTTCTGTCTAATGCTACAAGAAAAGCAAAAAACATAGTAACATTTCACTAGTGGAATCACACCTGTATTGTTTTAAAGAACCAGAAATTAACTTGTACATCAAATCAACATTCTATTCTGCACTTTCCTGTAAAGAAGGGATGAAGGTAACACATAACTAAATGTTGAGAGTTGGAGAAAATAGAGTCTTTTGTTATTCTCATAGTTTAACAATTTCCCATTGCTAATCTTAGATCTGTGATAAAATAGTGTTGGAGCATCTACCTCCAGAGATGTGTTGAGTGTGGAATGTGTACATCTGGTACCTGGGTACACACCATCTGCATGTGTACCAAGCAAGGGCATCAACACCTGGAGAGTCTTACAATGCAGATGCTCAGCCCCTCCCTGGAGTTGCTGAAACAGAATCTGCATCTAAACATTATCTATCCTTAGGAACTCCTAGCACATTAAATGTGAGAAACACTCTTCGGAGTAACTTACCTTGTGACAGTTTCAATTTCTTATCCAATTTCCCACCTCCTTTTGACCTAGGAATCTTACCTTCTTGTAGTCAACAGTTTCTAGTTTCTTCTTTGCCTTACCCTTGCCCAGGAGAGCTTCCCTCAGGCGTTTGTTTTCTCCCACAGTGCTTTCCTCTGCTGATTTTGCATCGGTGGCCTCCCTAATTCTGATATATAAAATAGGTTTAAAAAGTTGATCAAGCCGGGGATGTAGCTCAGTGGCACAGAGCCTGCCTGGCAAGCGCAAGGTCCTGAGTTTCATTCTCAGTAACAGCAACAAAAAAGTTGGTCTAGCTCTCCAAGTTTATAACTAAAACTTTCAAGGAACAAAGAAACCTTTCCAATAGGTCATGAATTTATAATACCTCAAAAACACCAAAACAAGAAAGAAGGAAAAAAAGAGAAAAGATAACATTAAATATCTAAGTTATGTTGCACATATTGTATGTGTCTATTCTTTCTCCTCTTTGTTACATTAATCAATATCTATGAAGAAATAATAGTTCAAATTTAGAAAATATTTGACTGATATTCCTGCCTCTTTTGCTCAGACAATCAAATTATTGGATGATAAAACTGAAGGGAAAATTTGGGTTTGGAGTTTAACGCCTTTGCTTGTACAATACATTGTGCTTTTGATTCAGCTATTTTTTATTGCCTAATTTTTTCTATTCTCGATAGGAAGAGAATAGATTCATTTATGTTTGTTTTGTTTATAAAAGAACTACATACCTAAAACAATTGTGATGTTTACTGAAAGCTTTTCACACCAAAGAAAAAGTAAAATGTCATAGTTGGAAATAACTTCAGACTTATTATTATTTCAAGTAATTAACACTAATAAAAAGCAGTACATTTGATAATTAATATAAATGTAAATTTCAGAGAAAAATTATAAAAACAATGTTGCAGCACACTGAATCATTGAAAATCCTGCTCAAGGGTTCTTACTGGCATGAAAAAGAAAGAGGATAGGGGACTTTGCCTCTTGTGGGTATTTGGCAATATCTGTAGACGTCACAGCTGGGGCAGGGGGCATTACTGGCATCTGCTGCAAGAGACCATGGGTACTGCTAAATATATTACAATGGACATGGCAGCCTTTATAAGAAAGAATGACCTATTCCCAAATGACAGTGTCACAATCGAGAGACCCCTATTTAAGGGATTCGTAGTAGCTCTCCATCAGAAGTTGCTAGACCAATGGACACCTGAAAGCTCCTTCCTAACTTCCAACTGTGCTGCAATCAGAAGCTTTAATTCCAAATCTATTACAATGTAAATTAAAAAAACAAACTGTCGGATGTTGTAACAGTTGATCATATAAAATTAACATGTTTAGAAAAGTGGCTAAAATGGACTCATTTCTTTATATATTTTCTTCTCTGTTTGTATTCTTTCTTTTCCCCAATGACATATGTGTATTAAAACTTTGCAATTAAGCTACGTCATTTTGTTATGAAAGATTCTCTCTCTGTCTCCCTCTATTTATTCACTCATTCATTTATTTTTGTTTGTGTGTTTTGTTCTGCGGATCAAGCTAGACAAGCGTTTTACCATTGGGCCATGCCCTCAGACTTCTGTCTCTAGTTATAAGTGGCATTTCAAGTTGTAGAGCAAACCTGATAGAAAATAATATATGATAGAAAATAATATATAAATAAATATATGAGGTGTGGTCATAAAATACAGCAAATACCTGATTTAAAAAAATATACACATTACAGCAAAAGACACATTGCCTCTCAGGTATTGCACTCCAGTGTGGACAATTTATCTAAAAGTGTACCTTGTCTTAGTGCAGTTGTGTTATGTGATTTTATGCTCTTTGACCTGTTAGTCTTGTTTTCAAGGTATATTCAGAACTAGCAATCATATCACAATTAACATTAGAGAAATTAGCAAGGACCCTCATTGTCACTGAATCACTCATTTCAATGAAAGAATCCATCTTTCTTGCTGTGTAAACTGCTCTTCTTAATATTTACCATGCTTTCAAATTAAAGACGTTCTGAGAGAATAGTGTTTTACTCAGGTCAAATACCCTGATTTCTAAGTGGAGGCCATCACAACTCATAATTATCTGTTTCAGTGTCATTTGCACTGTCCCAAGTTGTCTTTCTAGCACTGTAGTAGAATGGCAGATAAAATAGAGCAGAAAATAGAATAAACACATCACTTATAGCTGGACTATAGTTAGAAGTCTAATCCTGCCATTTATTGATATATGATCTAATACAGGGTAATGACAGTTCACAACACTTCAAAGCAAATGAGACTTCTTCACATGAGACATATCTATGTGTCTATTTTTATTTGTGTGTGTGTGGCAACGCATACAAAAGAGCTGTACAAATTTTATTTTTCTAAGACAAAAAACTTTGAAATTCTCTTGTTCTAAATTATTTTGCTAAAGTCATTTGTAAGTCTATTTAAATTTCTTTCTGTTTGAAATTTTTTTTGTTTTTGTTTTTTTTCCAGTACCAGGAATTGAACTCACCACCTCACACTTGCCAGGCAGGTGCTGTGCCGCTGAGCTAAATCCCCAGCCCCTCTGTTCAAAATTTAAAGGGAAAGTCAATAGTGTTGCCCAGGAGCAACTCATCCTCTGCATTGAGTCCAAAATAGTCTCTTTAACATCATATTGTTTGAATTCCACTGAATCTGTATAGACTAAAGTTTGCATATAATTTTGAATGAAAGTAGTCACAATATGGTAGTTAGATATGTTTTATTTACTTTAAGTGATTACAATTTCCTAAATATTAATATCTCAGACTCCAGACCAAATGGTATTTCTTCACGGAGACTATATAACCCCTTTATAAGCTACGCACCTGCTGCCTCCATTCCCTGACTTGTCTCCCACCCTGAGCCCAGGCGAGCACACACCTGCTCAGCTCATCTTCCTCCTCAATTCTGCTTTCCTTATGGCCTCTGTGTCTTGCAGCCGTATATTAATGCAATTATTTGACTGATATTTTTCTTAGACAGAAAACTAAAAGCTTTATGAAGCAAATACACATTTCATGAA